GGTCTAATCATCCCACAGTCTCCTTTGCTGGGGGTCATTATTATCCTTATTATACACTCTGAGAGTGTGCCCTAAGGCTCTGTCTTAGGCCTTCTGTACTCCTTTCTCTCTCTCTCTCTCTCTCTCTCTTCTCTCTCTCTCTCTCTCTCCTCTCTCTCTCTCTCTCTCTCTCTCTCTCTCTCTCTCTCTCTCTCTCTCTCTCTCTCTCTCTCTCTCTCTCTCTCCTCTCTCTTCCTCTCTCAGTCTTTTATCATCTTTCTCTTCTGCTCTCTTCCTCTTTCTTCTTCCCTTTCTCTTCCTTTCTCTCTCATTCTCTTTCTTCCTCTTCTTCCTCTCTCTCTCTCTCTCTCTCTCTCTCTCTCTCTCTCTCTCTCTCTCTCTCTCTCTCTCTCTCTCTCTCTTCTCTCTCTCTCTCCCTCCGGCCTTTATATCTATGCATATTCCTGACAGAATTATACATCCAACCCCAATCTAGTTTTTAGTAGACCTTTCAAAGTGGAGGTCATAGTGACATCGTAAAATCAACATGTCAAAAACAAAATTCATTATCTTTCCCCCTAAACTTTCTCAGCTTGCAAACTTCCCTATTTCTGTCAAAGGCATCACTGTTCTTCTAATCTGCCTAGTTCATGACCTTGGTATTATCTTTGGCTTTTCCCCCTCAGTCCATATATACAATCATTGCCAAATCTAGCCATTTCCACCTCCATATCTCCTTTAGCATCCAATGCCTTCTCTCTACTCACATAGCCATCACCTATGTTCAGCCTTCACCACCTCTCATCTAGGTTACTGAAAAAGTTTGTTTGCTTTAAGTGTCTCTTCATCTTCCTGACAAAGATATTTTCTTTAAATATAGATCTAACCATGTTACTCTCATACTCAATCAATTCCAGTGGCTCCCAATAGGGATGGATTAGTAGAATTAAGAAAATGATGGAGAAAATATTAATAATGGAGATCAAACCTAAAAAACCTAGTCCTCAAAGTGCATATACATACACTCCCATGTTTTCAGTGAGCCAATTGTTAAACATTTACCAGCATACCACTATTCCCTCAGGAGACCTAATATTACTAAGGGTATTGGTATCAATCCATACATTAAAGATTAGGAAAGCTTAATGTATTCATTTTAAAATATAAATAATGAATAGAGATAGAAATTCTAATATTTTATATTAGAAATAATGCTAATTAGAATAAATATAAAATAATTATAATATTTTCATGCCATCTGGATCATCTTGCATACCATCTCTGGACATAAGTGCACTCCATTTTGGAGAATGCTGCAATAGGGGAAGGGTGGTACAGAGCTGATGGTTTCCCTCAAGGAAAATCTGGGAAAGAAGACTTGTGGTCCTAAAGGAATTGCAGAGAATAGCAGCCTTGTCCCATGTATTTCCATCCTAGGAAATTATGAATTCCTTGGGTACTCTGACTTTACCCAATAAATGCTTAATTTACAAGATGAACGAATCAGTCTGTCCAAGAATCCACAGTGAGGTGGTTCACAATCAGACAATGGGCCCATCAAAGGTCAATCATTTGGCCAACAAACATTGATTCAGCATTGTGCAAGGCAATGTGTTAGCAGCTAGTGATACAAAGATATATATATATATATATATATATGTGTATATATATATATATATAAATAAGTGTATATATATATATATATAAATATATACACATTCTGTATAGAATATATACATATATAAACTTTAACCTCAAAGAGTTCACAATCTAATGTGGAGGTGAGGGGGAAAATGTACACTAATAACTATGATAGAAGAGAAAGTGAGAATAATCAAACCATAGGTATTTATTAAGAATCTACTATGTGCTGTGGCAGCTAGGTGGTACGGTAGATAGAGTGTGGGGCTTGGAGTTAGGAAGAACTGAGTTCAAATCCAGCCTCCTATACTTATTAGCTGTGTGACCCTAGACAAGTCACTTAACCTCTTTTTGCCTCAGTTTCTTCACCCACAAAATAAGGATAATAATAACACCTACCTCCGAGGGTTGTTGTGAGGGTCAAATGAGATAACAACTGTAAAGTGGTTAGCACAGTGCCTGGAACATACTAGGTGCTTGATAAATGTTAGCTATTATTATTATTATTATTATTATTATTATTATTATGCTAAACACTGTGCTAGGTGTTAGGGATATGAAGACAAGATATATATCCCTCAATATAAACTGCCCTCAAAGAACTGATATTCTATTGAAACAACAGTACATACACATAAGTGTTAATGAAATACACTCAAGATAAGTACAATAGAGTGTTGAGGACCGATCTTAAGAGTCTGATAAGGGTTTAAGATCCAAGGCAGAGCTTGACCACTGCCCAGGCTTTTACCCGTAAGGGCTCGATGATTAAGTGGTACGGCTCTTCAATCCCTTCCTGATTAGGAGGTCCCTGAGACATTCCTTCTCACTCTTTGAACCTTAGATTTACACATTCACTCCTCTGTGCAGGTGGTGCCAAGGCACCTGGGAAAACCTTGGAAAATACAACCCAATATGGGAACCCTGATAACGAGGAAATTCATGTTGTCACATCCTCAGCAGATGTTCTGGGGAGTATCTCATGGGGAGGACTCTTTGAAGTTAGGCTAGATTTTCTCTATATTTCCTGTACCCTCAGATGAATAAACTGAGTCAGTAATTCTGCTCCCCCTGGCCCATGTCATAAGGTATTTCACGCCTCTCCGTTTGGTGTACAATCTGGTTGCGGGCAACAATAGAGGATAACAAAGGGGAGTACAGCTTGTAGATCAGGGAAGGCCTCCTGTAGGAGGTGGCATTTGAGCTGAGTGAGCTCAGAAGGAAGCTAAAGATTCTGGGAGGCAGAGGTCAGGAGACAAAAAGTACAGAGAGGTATGGGCAAAGGGTTATGAGAAATCTGTAGAGAAAATTATTAACTTCCATGGTGGGATGGGGTTGGGCAGAGAACTTGGAAAGGGATGGGGTGGAGGATAACATCTGAGTTGGATCTTGAAGAAGGGATTTTAACAAATGGAAATGGAGAGTCTTTCCAGACCTAGGCATCAGCCTGAGCAAAAGCAGGGAGATGGAAATGTGTAGGTTGAAAATAGGGGATTCAGAGCAGTTTAATTTGTTGGGAGTTTAGAGTATGTGAAGGGGAAGTAGCCCACGATAAGATCTGATAGGGAAATTGGAGCCATGTTGTCTAGGCTTTGAATGTCAGGATCAGAAGGCATTGCAAAGCAACAGAGCATCACTAAAGGTGCATTAAGGAGATTGCCTAAAATATTGGCTTGAATCAGGGCTTAGAGAGGGGATAGGCTGGACACAGGGATGCATCTTAGGGGGTTGTTAGAAATAGTTTGGTTGATAGGTCTGTATCCCAAAGTGACCATAAGAAAGGAAAAAGGATCTACTTGTGCAAAAATCTTTATAGCAGCCCTTCTCATGGTGGCAAAACATTGGAAATTGAGGAGATACCCATCAATTGGGGAGTGGCTGAACAAGCTGTGGTATAGGAATGTAATGCAATCCTATTGTGCTATAAGAAATGATGAACAGGCAGATTTCAGAAAAACCTGGAAAGATGTGTATGAACTGATGCAAAGTGAAATGAGCAGAACCAGAAAACATTGTACACAGAATCAGCAATATTATGTGATGATCAACTATGAATGACTCAGCTCTTCTCAACAACACAATGATCTAAGACAAGTACAAAGGACTCAGGAAGGAAAATGCCATCCACTTTCAGATAAAGAACTGAATGCAGACAGAAGAATAAGTTTTTCACTTACTTTATCCTTTTTCATGGTTTTTATCCCTTTGATCTATTTCTTCTTTCACAACTGTGGCCAATATGAAAATGTTTACATGATAGCATATGTATGACCTATATCAAATTGCCTATCATTTTCAGAAGAGGGGAGAAGAGGGAGGGAGAGAGAAAAATTTGGAACTCAATATCTTGCAAAAAATGAATGCTAAAAATTGTCTTGATATGTAATTGGGAAGAAAAATGAAATAACTATTTTTAAAAACAGTCTAATTGAGGAGAGATGTGGGCTTGAACTAGGGTGGGAGAGTTCTTATAGAAAGAGGAAAGGACAGGAATTGCCCACTAACTGGATGAGTGGGGTGAGATACTAGATCGCTCCATGTCAGGGCTTATCTGCCCTGGCTGTTGCTGTATCAGGGCAAATTTTCCTTACTTCCTTAGGAAATAGCGGATCAGAGGTACAACTAAATTTTACCTGGAAAAGCCAGCAACATTGATCTGTGCTGGAAACATCATCATTGTTGAGGGAGAGATGTGGATGGGTTCGATGAGAAAGTGACTAAATTTGCCCCATGCCAGGTGAAAATGGAAGGGAAGATACCTCCAGGATCAAACAGGAAGTTTTCCGTTTGGCACTTCACTCTTCACAACCTGGCCTCCCACTGGACACTCCATCATCCCAGTCTTTGCACTGACTGTCCCTCAATCCTGGAAAGCTCTACTTATTCCCTCAGCTTCTTAAAATCAATCCCAAGCTTCCTCCTAGAGAGCCTCAATGCCACCTTCCACATCGCTTTTTTTCCTGTTCCCCATTCCCTAGATGCTAGAAGAGCCTTCTCCTCTACGATTACTCTCTAGCTACGCAGTACGCATCTTACGTGTCCCTATTTATTTCCAGGTCTCTTTCATAGAATGTAAGCTACCTGAGGGAGATAGAAAGGACACAATTTGCCCACTAATCGAAAAGAAATGAGCCTGTGGTTTAGGGAAATTGGCAGAAAGACTAGGGCTAGGTAGTTGAGCGGTACGTCTAAATCTTGCATTAATCTCTCCGGGGTGAGGTGTCCCAGACAGAGCCCTTCCAAGCCCTCTCTCCCTCTCCTCCATACCTGACACGGAGTTTACTGCAGCGCTCTCAATTTACTAATTACAATGATTGTGATTCTTAAGCACAGATCCACTCGGTTTCCCCTCCTATCCACCACTGCCGCCCGCCTCTTACCCTCTGTCCGCTTCTCCCGCGGGTGGGGACTTAGGTCCGAGGTCCTAAGGGCTTCTCAAACGGCTCCAAGTTGCAGAGTTTACGCGTTGCCTAGCAACCCTGGCCGGGGCCAGCGGAAAGGAAAAAAGAGCCCCAGAGGTCACGTGACCCCTTCCCCCCAGTTCGTTCCCAGGGAGGCTGAGTTGACTTGTAGTCATCCAGTCAACAAGCATGCATTTAGTTAAGCTCCTGCTATGTGCCAGACACTGTGGTTAGCTCTAGGGTTATGAAGAAAAGCAAAACAAAAACAATCCGCGAAGTGGAGGGTGAGGGGAGTGTTGAAAGGAATAGAATGCTGGGGAGTGGGCTTGTGGCATTTCTGCTTCAAGGGAGCTCCTGGAATAGCTTCTTTGGTTAACAGAGAGATCAAGACCACAGATAAGACCATAGATTTAGAGCTAAAAGGGACTTTTGGATCCACGGAATCAACTCCTCATTTTACAGAAGCTAGAAATGAGGTACAGAGTGGTAACCTGCCTAAGGTTACGCAGCGGACGTCTGCAGCAGAACTTGAAACTTCTCAGCTCAGTGTCCTGTCCCTACGGTGCCCCTTCTCTCAAACACTTGTTGAGGGTCTAGAATTTGCTGTGGGACTTTAAAGTCTGCAAAGCACTTCACCCGCATTAAGTCCTTGGTCATTGTACCCATTTTGCAAACAAGGAGGCTGAGGCAGGTTACTGGATTTTGACGAAAGTCACACCGTTACTAGGCGTCAGAAGCAGGATTTGAACCAATCCCTCCTGATTCCCAGTGTAGCTAACACTATCTCTCACCGAGGGATTATTTATAGTTTGAAGATGTTAAACTTGGAATCAGAGGGCCTGATTAAGATATTTGTTCTGATACTTCATTTCAATTCTTTGAGCGCCACGTTCCTCGTCTATATGAAATAATTGGACTAGATGAGCTCTCAGTGTCTTTCAGCTCTAAATTCCATGAGACATACAAAGATATGACTGGCTGCCTCCCTCAGAGAATTTAAAAGGCTAGTTGGGTAAGTGGGCATAAATCCAGCAAGCAGTCCAAAGCAGCCTATGAGCCAGTAGCTCAGGAAAAGAATAAAAGATCTTTGAAGTTGGCTTTGGAGGAGGATTAGGACTTGGATGGGGGAAAGATGGAGAAGAAGGATATGAGTAAAGGAAATGTTTCCTGGACAATAAGTAGGAAACATTTAGCATTTTTTGTTATTGTTGAGCTGTGTCTGATTCCATAATCCCATCTGGAGTTTTTGGCAAAAATACTGGAGTTATTTGCCACATTTCCTCCTCCAGCTCATTTTATAGATGAGGAAATTGAGGCAAACAGGATAAACGGACTTACCTAGGGTCATTAGCTAGTAAGTGTCTGAGGCTGGCTTTGAACTCATGAAAGATGAGTCTTCCTGATTCCAGGCCCAGTGTTTTATCCACTTTGCCATTTAGCTGCCTTGCCTGACACATAGTAGGCATTTAATATATGTTTATTGAATTGAATTGAATAGTGAGCCATAAATTTGAAAAGCTGTGTTGGGGTGTGATTGTGGAGAGTACTGCTGTGATACAGGAAGACACTGAATGTAAGGATAATGAGTTTACAGTATTGGATTTGTATAGTGTGAAAAATCAGAATATTCAAAATTCAAATTTACAGGCAAAATAGAATGAAAAGGTTTTAATTCTATAGCTGAAATGACTAAGTTGAACTGGAATATTCTAGCAATAGTCCATCTGTATTTAGCTTGAATGTCTTCTGCATTTAGAATGTAAGCTCCTTGAGGGAATTAATTTTTTTTTTGGAGTTCTTTTGTATGATAAGCCTTAGCATGTTCTGGCTTATAGTAAGCACTTAATAAATGCTTATTGGCTGACTAATTAAACGGCCTCTAATTCTAATAATTTTAGAATTTAATTTAATTGTTTGGACCTCCATAATTTCTAATGACTTTTTCTCATCTTGGAGTCCTCGAGGTTAAATGTTACTGATTTGTCGTGATTCAACATCACAAATATACTTTTGACTTGTTTTTCTTTCCTGTTAGATAAACACTCTGTTCCTGAATTATAACTTTATTGTTAGCCTTGTAGTCTTGAGGTAATTGTTTAAAATTCTCTAGAAGCCTCATGGAAAGTTCTATAAACCCCTGGTCTTCCTTTGCAAGTTGAGATTCTTGGCTAGAAAAGGGAAATCCATGATGATCAACAATATTCCAAGTAATTGATTAATTAGTAAATAATTTCTAATACATTAAGGGCAGCTAGGGGGAGCAGTGGGTAGATCGTCAGACTCAGAGTCAAGAATACATGATAGATTTATCCTCCACCTATCTTTAGTTATGCAGTCATTTCAATCATATCTAACTCTTTGTGACTCCATTTGATATTTTCTTGGTAAAAATACTGGAGCACTTTGCCATTTCCTTCTCCAGTTCATTTAACAGATAAGGAAAGGGAGGCAAACAGGGTTAAGTCACTTGCCCAGGGTCACTTAGCTAGTAAGGGTCTGAGGCTGGATTTGAACTCACAAAGAGGAGTCTTCCTCACTCCAAGGCCCGGCACTCTATCCACTGCTCCATGGACATAGTAAGTGCTTAATAAATGCTTGTTAAATTGAAATGAATTGAACTAAATTTCTTAGGTCCATAAAATAATCAAGATCTAACTTGCTCCAAAGCAAAACCCAATGGAACTACTGCTGCCCCATCCATCCCACTCTACTCAACTCCTTTGTCACCATCTTCTCTAAGCCAAGGATGCCAACAGTGGTTGGATGGGAAAGAAATCAGTTGAGGACTACGTGACACATAGAATAGTTTCGTTGTATAGCCAGATGGCTATCAGATTCAGATAAAACTTGTGAGTGAAGAAAAGTACTCTTCCAAAAATAGACCTTTGTTCTGATTTTAGTTATAACCTGTTTCCCCCTACTTCTCCAGATGTGAGTACATAAGGCTAGTTTCAGTTTTGACACAGTCTCCTTCAGATATATTTTGGTGGTGGGGAAAGAGGAATGCAAGAAGAGAAAACCTCATTCATCTTTTTTTCTATTATCTGAGTGGTGTCCCCACCCAGCACAACATGACATGATGGCTCTCATGTCCAGACTGACAATGGACCCACTACCCAACCACTTCCCTTTTCAGAATGGCTCCGGCCTGGTTATGTAGTCCAATATGGTATCTCTGTTGGGTATAGGCATACTCCGTAAACACCTGTTTACAGTCGGAGGCATTAGTAAAGTTTTTCCAATGATTCTGACCCCAAAGGGGAGAGCCTTTGATTATTCAGTCCTACTCTGGCTAGGCACTAGACCACACAGCTAGACTCATGGCCAGTGACCAGGAATCCAACTCATCCCTCAAGGTTTTCTCATACATCTGCTGTGGTACCACTTCCCCTTCCCTCTCAATTTGGGTAATTCCTGTTACCAGATTAATGGTCACTGACCTAAAGTTTCATATATCTTTCTCTTAACAAGTGGAGACACCCAAAAGTCAGGCCAAATAGCATTTCTCAGGAGTCAGATCTTCATAGGGTGAACCCATTGGATTAGTGGAAGGGGCAGAGTGTCAAAGCTTGGCTTTGAGGCTTCAGTCCTTGGCAGAGTTACAACCTATTCATGAAGACACTAACACCTATGGAACCTAGAAGGAGGTAATTTTTAATTTATCATTTCTATTAATTATAGAAGCCTCCTGTGACATCTTATTAGAGAGTTTGTCTTGTGTCACTAATTCATAACAGACTATGCTGAATGAAGAGGGATTTATGACTCTATGATTTGTTTAGTAGCTCAGTGCTACTGAAGGTCCAATAATAGCTTTTCAAAAGTAGTATAGCAGGGCAGTGAGGTGGTGCAGTGGATAGAGAACTGGCCCTAGAGTCAGGGGGACCTGAGTTCAAATCCAGCCTCAGATACTTACTAGCTGTGTGGGCAAGTCACTTAACCTTGACTGCCTTCACCAAAAAAAAAAAAAGTAGTATAGCAAGTGGCTAGTTTGGGGAGTTTGCAACTCCAGAAGGCTAACTTTCATTTGGTCTGACCACCATACTGGGTGTCTGCCAAAGGCTCCACTCAGTTTTTTATGGATGGAAACCTTCAAAAACTTGAGTCCCACAGGGTCATAAGGGCCTAGGGAGATAGATGGCTGAACAGCCATTTTAGGTCTTTAGAGCCATATGCTATTCTGGGCCCCACTCAAAAAAGATAGACTTGAGGATGACCTGGTAAAGGGTGAGGAGTAGGGGTTATCAGGATACCAATGTAGGGTATGTGGGTTCTCTAAAACCTAAGGAATCCAGTAAACCTCTGAGCTTCCTTTTTCAGTTTATGCAAAAGTGAGGGTCAGTAGCTTATTCCAGACTCTGGATTCATCTACTATAACTCCCTATCCTCAAAACTTGACCGAATTGGCTGGATAATGTACTTTCTTAGGGTTGATGTCTCTCATATAGACCACTATCCAATGTAGGACCTCACCCACCATAGCCTCATCCAGCCTGGTCAACTGTCTGTTTACCATAGAGTGATGGCTATCAATGCCCTCAAGAAGGGAAGGCAATTTTAGGTGTCCATCCACCAGAATGTGGCAGTATGAGCTAGAGTTCATGTAGCCCTGGGAAAGAACAGTGAAGGTATACTGGGACTCCTTCCCAGATGAAAGCAAAATGCTTTAATATCAGGTACAGAATAGAGAAAAACAAACAACACCGATAAGGTCAGTAACCCTATACCACACACTCTAACCTAGGCTACCTAATCCACCATATTGATGAAGTCAAGCATGGTTCCAGCAATGGGCAAGAGGACTTTGTTCAGCCCACTTTTGTCCACTATAAGCCACTAGGTACCATCTACCTAACTCACAGACTACAGAGGATTGTAAGGGGAGTGGGTATAGCAGAATACTCTGGTCTCCATCTCCTCATTAGAGAGGATGCTTCTTTCACCCACCTGGGGATCTGATCTAGTTTGGTGCTAACTACATAGGATGGCTCAGTCAGCTCCAGCCTCTGAGCAGTTGGGCTTCCAAGAGGACACTGAATATTTCCATTCACTGTGAAAGCAGTTATCACTTACCAGCAG